CTGGCGACTAGGCAAAAAGATGCTTATCAAAGGGCAAGCAAACTGGACTGCGCACACCAAGAGCACTGTAATGGCAAAGAATGACCACGGTAAGTAGTGGATTTTCTCGAGGTTTCGGATACAAAAAAAATAAAGCTTCAGCAGAGCTCTGCTTTTATATCGATAAAAAAAAAAAAGAAAAAGAAAAATACACCAGCGATTAAGAGCCAATAGACGTCAATAGGCAATGAAGAGGCTGTTTAGGAAGCTCTAAACAATTCAACCCGACATTCCGGATCATCTATTTACCGATTGACCGAAATCCTATTGTTCCTTTGTTCACCAATGATCCAAACCCATTGAACCCATTGAACCCATTGAACCCATTGAACCTCTCAATAATAGCGGTTAATAGATTGATTCACAAATATGCCAGTGTTCCAATCCAAAACCTTCCGTCGGGCAGCTACGGAATCATCGTCCCTCGGTGAACGGCTCGGTGCGTTCTACCGGGCGCGGCTTGCTCGACACCCTTTCATTCTCTTCGGACTCCCGTTTATGGCCGTCATTGTAGCTGGTTCATTTGCATTGACACCTGCTGCTGCCCTACGGTATGAGCGGTATGACCGCAAAGTCAAGCAGCTCAGTCAAGACGAAGCATTTGACCTTGGACTCAAGGGTCCTGACGGGGAAGAGGGAATCAAACGCAACCCGCGGAGGAGGATTATAGGCGACGAAAAGGAAGAATACTACGTATGTTTTGTTTACTCTTTATTTTTTCACCTGACATTCGAACTGAATGCTGATTATTGTGCACGTCTACAGAGACTTATGGCCAAAGACCTCGACCAATGGGAGCAGAAGCGGGTAGAGCGATTCAAAGGTGAACCGGACGGAAGGCTGTAACAGACTGAGTTAATAGCTGAGTGTTCTGGTATCCTCCAACGCGACGACAACACGTTTTCCTCGTGACCTCACCTAACGTATGAGCTCATTGGTAGGGTACATTACAGTACACTACTGTGTGGAGATGAAGGAGACCAGGAGTGCAGTCACTCAATGATCTGGCTGGCCTTCGCATACAGCGTATGCTATACATCAACACCCCTACCCCGGGAGCCATTGGAATTGGTCTCGTTCATCTCTTCGGCCTCTCGAAACTTGTATACAGCATACAATGTATACTTCCGCTTCCCCCAATCTTATATGCTGGGCCATTGACTGTGGATTTGGAAAAGGACCTTTCTGTCCCTTTCGAGTCTGTCACCTCATCCTTTCGCTTGCCATATCGATGTGAAATGCATGAGTGGAACCACTCCACGGTTGGTCCCTTGAAGACTCGCCACTAACCGGGAACCGGGATGATATCACTGTTAATATTGATCAGCCTAAGAGTCCAACATAATTCAATTCCAAGGTACCGCCGATGTATATATTGATCCATAATGATCCATAATGCAGATGTTCAGGGCTCCTTCTAATGCTTACTCAGCCGTATATAGCCCTGGCCGGGGCCCTGGACAGGACTACACTTCGGAGGATTCTTGTTCAAATACTATGTATCCATGGACATCATATATATAACCTATTAGCTAGGATATTCAATATATATAGATAGTTATATAGTTATATAGTTATATAGCTATATAGATATATAAAACAAAATCTACATATAGAAAAATCCAACTACGTCAGAACCGAAATGAACCCGTGATCCCCACACACCAACGTCATAACTTTCTTCTCGAAGCCCCCCAAATTTCTTCACCTTCCTTCTCAGGGCTACCTAGTCTTAGATTATTAATCATGCAACACATCTGATATCACAGACCTATTCACTGGCCATTTTTTGGTTTTTCACTTTGGCTAGACCCTGGTCTATTCGCTTCTTGCCCCTCTTTGTGCCTACGTCAGATATATCTCGTTTCGTTCTATCCTTGCTCAAGCTTTACACCCTTATTTGACATTCGGTTTCGCCTGTGAATGTTTGAAACCGGCGATTCGGCCGCAGTCCTAGGTCTCTGACCCTGATATCTTGATCCGAGAGCTTGGGAGCATTTGTCAGTCTGATCCTTGAGAAACCGTTTGGAATTATCTGCTACACAACTGCGGATGTCAATGACAGGGAAGTTTTGAGCTGACCGTCCCTCAACAGACTGGAGTTGTGGAAGCCAACTTGCCTGCCATGACAGGCCCAGGACACTCACCCTCCTCACCTTGGGTACAAAGTGCTCAAGGTGGTCATCATGATGGTGTCACACAGTCCTGCCACTCTGCCATGTCGCCATCAACCACGGGCATGATGTCGAGCGCGGCTTTTGCAGAAAGATCAAGTCCCAATTATTTCGGCATGGCCGTGCAAACCCCCAACAATCAACAGATTTCCAACCCGGGGCTATCCATACAAAAGAACTGGGGCACATTACCCAATACACAACCTCTGCCGAGTCCAAAATTACCAATGTTTTGCCAGGAATCGGTATCCGCGGGATTAAAGAATCTATTGAAGACCGAGCCCGAAACCAACCGGATACGCCGAGAATCAGCATTACATGGATCTTCCTCTCCCCAGACGACTTCATGGTCAACGCCCTCACCCTCACATCCGCTGGGAAATATTTCATTTGCGCAACCCAACGGATTGAAGCTTTCAGCCGGCAAGACCTCAACACCCACTCCACAAGGTATGACTGACCACTCTTGGATTTGTTAAATTCTTTTCTCTCTCTCTTTGATCTCTTAAATGCTCTGTTTATCTTCCATAGATTATATAATATGCTAACACTTTCTCTTCAGGAGCCACCCCGGCTTCATTTCCGTGGGTATCAGCCGAACGTTGCGCCGAACTTCTTGAATCATCTCAGTCAAACACCATGTTATTTGATGTTCGCCCATTTGCTCATTTCAGACAGGCCAATATCAAAGGATCACTCAATTTATGCATCCCCACTACCCTACTCAAGCGCCGATCATTTGATACCCAGAAATTAGAGGGCACATTTACAGACGACGCCGACAAACAGAATTTCGCTCGTTGGAGAAAGTGCGACGTGATCATCGTCTACGACTCTGCCGCAGCGGATTTGAAGGATGCAGCACCTCTTCTGAGCCTTCTCAATAAATTCCAGGCTGAAGACTGGAAGGGAGATGGGTTGATCTTACAAAATGGATTTCGAGGTTTCTCGGGTCGGTTTCCACATTTGATTCAGCAGTCACAAACGCAGACGACTGGACCATCCTCTAAACGTCCCTCTCCCATGAGAATCAATCTGCAATCTGTTGCTCCTGTCGTGGGTGGCTGCGCCCTGCCAGAATCATCCTCTGCCATTAATCCATTCTTTGGAAATATTCGACAGAACATGGATCTCCTCGGAGGTGTCGGACAAATTCCTCTGAAACAGCCTGATCAATTGACCGAAGCAAAGCGACAGAAACTCCCTTCCTGGTTGCGGGGCGCTTCCGATACCAAGGACCAAGGGCATATTGTCGCGAACAAGTTCCTGATCTTGGAGAAAACAGAATTGGAACGCATGAAACAGGCTTTAACATATGAAGGACCTTCGGCTGACACCAATGGTGGCCCCAAGAAATATCGCGTTGCGGGAATAGAAAAAGGCACGAAGAATCGTTACAATGATATTTACCCATTCGATCATTCCCGTGTCCGACTCGAGGGAATTCCATCTGGGGCCTGTGATTATGTGAATGCAACTCATATTTCCGCTGAACTTAGCAATCGGAAATATATCGCCACTCAGGCTCCCGTCCCTGATACATTTGATGTGAGTGGCAGGTCCTTGCAATGCTTGTTATCATGTTACTCACTATGTGCAGGACTTCTGGCGCGTGGTGTGGGAGCAAGACGTTAGACTTATCGTTTCCCTCACTGCAGAGGTTGAGCGAGGACAGGTAAAATGCCATCGATATTGGGAGTCTGGAAAATATGGACCATTCGAGGTGAAGGCCTATTCGGAAAAACATATCTCTATCGAATCCGGGGGCGAACCTATTGACCCCATGTCTGGCGGTCTTAAGGCATCGACCGACCGACCTGATGGCACAAACGAAAACCCAGTCATCACTGTGCGAAACTTCAGTATCTGCCATACATCATTTCCCTTCCAGCCGCTTCGCGATATCACCCAGCTCCAATATCCTTACTGGCCCGATTTCGGGACGACGTCACAGCCGACCCATCTTCTCCATTTGATTGAGCAATGTAACAAGGTCATCCGTGCCACCAGCAACTCCAGCTTTAGTAGCCAGGAAGCAGAACCGAAGGGTCAGCGGCCAGTACTGGTACATTGCAGTGCGGGCTGCGGGCGTACGGGAACCTTCTGCACTGTCGATAGTGTCTTGGACATGTTGAAACGCCAACGTGCGCAGGCTGTCGGTGGTGGAGACCTGGACCAGAACCCCAACGGTTCTACCCAGTGGATGGGGGATTTCAATCTTGACCTAATTGCAAAGACGGTTGAAGATTTCCGGAGACAAAGACCGAGTATGGTACAGAACCTGAGTCAATATGCACTCTGCTATGAGAGCGTGCTCGAATGGCTCGCTTCTGAGATGAACTAGAGCGAGCCATTAGACTAGACTCTTTTTTCCCCCTTCTTTTTTTTTCTCTTGCTATGATGACGACCCTGGGATACCCCTTTCTGGCCTTGCATTCTCAGGGCTATGGTTTTCTTTTGATCTATGTACAATGTCATACAGCTCGTGGTTCTGCATTTTCTGGAGTTTCGAGTTGCTTTGGGGACAAGGAAAAATGGACACAGATAATTTTCTCGGGGACTTTCTATTGCGTAGTTTTGCATAAGACTATGGTAGCGTCCTAGTCTACTTAATGAGATTCAAGAATTGCTCTATTCAGTTACAATGGTTTGGAGACCCATAACCATAAATACGTCTTTGGTATTCAGCAACCAACTTGAAGACTTTCACATTTTGAACGGCAGGAGTTTAGTAAAGCTCCTTTCATGTATGTCATATACTAGATTCTGCCCCTGGCTCTTGACGAGCTACTTGCCTTTTTCATTGTAACCGAGATTCAGAAACAACATTCCACGATCAGTAACCGCAACCAGTTCGTCTTCCTTTTCAGTGAAGCATAGTTGAGAGCAAACCGCCTCTAACTGGAGAACAACTGGTCGCAGCTCGATGGCACCTGTAGAGGATTCCCACGATGATGGATAAAAGCCCGTACCATTGTCTCCAATCAATTCCGAGGGATTCAGTGCCCAGACATAGAGTGTTTTCCAGTTAGCGACAGCAACACGAGTTCCACGACGGGACGTTGCCACAGGAGATCCATGTGAAGTTGTTACCTCCCGGAATCCCCCAAGCCGCGCCATGATCTGCCAGTTATCAAAACGCCTACCGCGGTCGAGATTCAGAACATGGGTACATCGTGGGCCAGTGTATGTCTCAGACTTCAGGAGGCATGCCACGGTCCATTTTTCAACGCGGTGGGTGGCAATCCCGAAGGCGAGGTACTGCCAATGACACTGTTCTCCCTGGTTTATATTGCCGAGCTCATGGGTACCGAAGAATGGTATTCCAATTGAGAATTGAAGCGAGAGGGAAGGCGAAAACTGCACGGTGCATGCATTCTCATTAACATGTGGCTTTGGCTCGCCTGGGAGGAGGCCAGGGAGGCGATGAAGTCTCTGAAAGGCACCGTAGATATTTTGAGTCCGGTAGTGGTATAGCAACTGGAAGCCTCGATCATTGAAAGCCAGCCTTGTCGCGGGGCCTGTTTTTCGAGAAGGACGGATAGGCGGGTCTTGATCGTTGGAGCTTGTCAAAACGTAGGCCTCAAGAGCGGCATCTAGACATGTCAGGAACCATTCCCAGTATGACAGAATGACGAAACGAACGAATAATTTTACAGGGATTATCTCCCTTGCCTTCCGCTAGAACGCCTTCGCTTGAACCATCTTCATCTTCGTCTTCCGCTTCGTCATCGTCGTCGTAGAGCTGGGTATAAAGAACGACGTAATGATCAGAGGGGTCGAGCATGTTTTGCCATGATATTGCGAATTTGCCGTTGGCAGCGGACAAAGCCAGTGGCCTATAATCTCGGCATTCGGGAAAGTCACACATTCGAATGGTGTTTTTCGGAGAATCCAAGCGATGACAGGCCAGGTGAATACTCCCGTTGGGGCAAGACTCTAGGGCATGTTTAACAAATGGGTGATCTGTGTCCAATTCTTGGTCTAAGAATGGTTTGAATCGATGTAGCACGGCGACTCCGCCATTTCCATCAAAAGCAGTCTGCAGGATCTCGACCTCCCCGATATCTTGTCCTGGTGATTTCAATTCCACCTCAGTCCGATCCCCATCGCTCATATCAACCAGATGCACAGTACTGTGACCTTTGAAGACAAGCAGTGCTCGAATGCTGTCTTCTGATGCCTCAATTGTTGATGCATGGTAGTCAATCACTTGACTTTGATACTCATAGGTGGGGCTGGCGTAATGCTCTGCGCCATCTAAGTGTTCATAAGACCGTCTCATCAACTCACCAAACAGATGCTTAGTTTGAAGAGTTTCAATACCGTCATTCCAGCCAGGAGTATTATGTAACTGATGAATGATGACTTCTCGGCTACTGGAAGCAATCTCGTAAAGCCTGCGGCTTGAAAAGGCTACCTGAAAGTAGGCTGGTGTATCACAATGTCGAAGAATTAGCTGTATTAGCTCTGTTGGAAGTTGAAGTAACATCTCTGCGGCTGTAGATCTAATGGGGAGGTGTTTAGCATAGATTTATAGAACTTGGTTGAAGCCTTGGTGCACAGACTTTTTTGTTGCTTCGTGGGGGTGCGCTGATTTTGTGGACCAGGCAAGAGAGAAAGTGGCTAATGGAAAATCAACACAAGGTCGAATATCTCAACGGTATCAACGATTTCCACATTGTAGGAGATATGAAGTTGGTTTCTGAGATCTGTTTGCTCTCCGCCTATATACTCTACGGATGTACATATAGGTTTCCTGCAGGTAAACCAACTACGGATTGTACAAGAATATACCAATTTTTAGACTTGGTTTATTCCCAAGTCTTTGTAGACTATGTCCGTGTTTTGGACTTTCTTTTGTCTCCAAAACCGTCTGCTCAAAAGAGTACAATGGACCATATAGTTCCACCTTAGTATTATTTCGATAATATGAAAAGCCGATCACTGTCCTTCTCCGCCACCCCCGGACATGCTGATAAAAGTGATGATCAGAAGAACCCACCAGTACCTAAATTATCAATTAGCACACGGAAAACAAAAACCTCGATATCTGCCTATCTGTAACCTACTTCTGGAAAAGAGACTTTTCTTCGGGTTGCTCTGGGTTCTGCCCATCGGGCCCGACAACCACTGGCCTGTTCAGGTGAGGCTGCGTCCCGGCTTCATTCGAGACGAAGTCAATTTGAGGGCCAGATATCGAGCCCTGAGCGGCGATAGACGAGGTAGACAGGGAGACAGTGTAGACATCGTTGGCTGGACCGAGGTGAAGGCGAAATGTTGGTTGCTCACTGGCTAAGGAGGACAACGACACAAGACTGCCGACCCATTGCTTTTTGTTTGTGGGGGTTGAAGTGTAGAGACCGACGCGCACCAGACTGTTGCTCTGGTCATTCTTTGGGGGGTGATATGAGACCACGTCGGATTTCAATGAGGCTGGGTCGTAGGAGATGCGCGCAAGGACGGACGGTTGTGGCGATCCCAAGGGCCAATACAGGATGTCGGTTGAGAGGGAGGCGTTGGTGACGGAAATTAGTAACGACACAGCGCCGAGAATGGTTGGTAGGAACCGCATGGCGATGAGAATTATAGTGAGACCCGGAGATGTGTCGAGAAGAAAGTTGGAGCTCCCACGATTACACATACCCGTATGAGATGAATATCTTACAGTACAAAGTATTAAGTATACCTATACTCGGATTGTTCACAATTAAGACTAGTAATTCGAACATATTTAATATGTACATGCTGTAAAAATATAGATCACCAATATACATTGTACATCACTTACGGTATGGTACACCAAGAGTACACTAATTACCGTAATGAAATGGTGGGATATACAAGTATCATCAAAGTACCCGGAACCCCTAAAAGGTACCGGCTAGCACTGCTCCGTCAGGGCGGTACACAGTTCACTTTCAATTCTCTTCAATACATCCCTCAAATCCCAATACATACAGATATTAACAGTAAGCATAATCAGCTTATATTCTGTGTTTTGTGACTAATCTATGCTTAGCACTAATTTATAGCTTCAAAGCTGTTTCGAAAGTAAATATAGCTACGGCAACATGGTCTCGCTGCCCTACAGTCGTGCCTCCCATCAGAGCTCCCGGAAAGCAATTAGTGACCCTCGAGAGGATTTGGCAGTTCGCCTCGACTACTATATTGGCATTGATGTCGGAACTGGCAGTGCCCGTGCCTGTATCATCGACGACAAAGGTGATATTGTGGGGCTGGCCTCGGAGAATATTGGTCTTTGGCAACCGGAGCATGGTTACTATGTGGGTGAAAGTGCGAGCAATTTGGGTGTCAAATCAGTCTTACCTAGCCTCTAGGAACAATCTACCTCCGATATCTGGCGTTGCATTTGTGTAGCTGTTCAGCGCGTTATTAGCCAGCATAATGTCAACCCTGACATGGTTCGTGGTATCGGGTTTGACGCCACGTGCTCCTTGTCGGTTTTCTCCAATGATACCGACGAGCCAATCTCTGTAACTGGCCCGAATTTTGACTCGGACCGCAACGTGATCTTGTGGCTAGACCACCGCCCAGTGGAGGAAGCCGCGAAGATCAATGCTACCAACCACAACCTGCTCCGCTATGTGGGCGGGAAGATGTCCGTTGAGATGGAGATTCCCAAGGTGCTTTGGCTCAAGAACCACATGCCCAAGGAGCTCTTTGATAAATGCAAGTTCTTTGATCTGGGAGATGCTCTTACGCACATTGCTACGGGCAACGAGAAGCGAAGCTTCTGCAGCGTGGTTTGCAAACAAGGATACGTGCCTGTTGGCGTCGATGGGAGCGTCAAAGGATGGGAGGAGGATTTCTTGCAGGACATTGGCCTGGGTGATTTGACCGAAGATAATTTCAAGCGCATGGGTGGAGTCGACGGGGTGGTGAGCCTTTCCCTAGTTGACAACGACGCAGTTTACTGACTTTTGGTGCCACACAGAATGGCGACTATTTGAGTGCCGGTGAATTGGTTGGCACTCTCTGCGACAAGGCTGCAGCCGAATTAGGCCTGCCGGCTGGTATTGCCATTGGCAGTAGTGTGATCGACGCCTATGCTGGCTGGATTGGTACCGTCGGATCCAAGGTCGATATAGACCCAGGTCAATCTAGCGCAGCTGTTCCCAAACTTGATAGATCAGAGGCCTTCTCTCGCCTCGCAGCTGTCGCAGGAACCTCGACATGTCACCTTGCCATGTCACCAGACCCAGTTTTTGTTGATGGTGTCTGGGGACCATATCGGGATACCATTCTCCCCGGATACTGGATGGCCGAGGGCGGCCAATCCGCCACGGGAGAATTGCTCAAGCATATAATTGAGACTCACCCGGCATTCAACCAGGCCATTTCGATTGCCGAGTCATCCCATGCCAACATATACGAATATCTGAACGAGCATCTTAAAGACATGGCACATGGTCAGGGAGCCCCATGTGTATCCTATCTCGGGCGCCATTTTTTCTTCTATGGTGATCTATGGGGCAACCGCTCTCCCATCGCCGATCCCAACATGACTGGATCCATCTTTGGCCTAACCAGTGACAAATCTGTGGACGGTCTTGCCATCTACTACTATGCCACCATGGAGTTTATTGCGCTGCAAACTAAGCAGATTGTAGAGACAATGAACAAGGCAGGCCATCGCATCACCTCTGTGTTCATGTCGGGCTCACAATGCCAGAATGACATCCTGGTCAACCTTGTCGCATCTGCCTGCGGCATGCCTGTGCTGATTCCAGAGTACATTCATGCTGCAGTATGTCACGGTGCTGCTATGCTCGGTGCCAAGGCGGCCAGCGCTGATTCCCAAGGCAAAACCACTGATCTGTGGGATATCATGAATCGGATGAGCAAGCGTTGCAAGAAGGTGTTGCCGACAGAGGACAAGAACGAGAAAGCTTTGCTCGGTGTTAAGTATGAGGTCTTTCTGGAACAGTGCTTCAAGCAACAGAAATACCGTGGGATGGTGGATGACGCCGTGGGGGCCTGGAAGTCCACGTCCACCTAATCTGATATGACGATCTCCACGGCTTTTTCTTTTCTTCGCCAAACAAAAAAAAGGACATAGGTACTGGGATGTTGGCTACGATCTACAAATTATATTTTTCAGTCATTACCGCATAATCAAAAGGAACGAACCCCAGATAACGATTTCATAATGGTAATCATTGCAAAATCATGTCTAATGCATTGAGCTATAGTCAGGTCACTAGGAAAGCCAAGATAAGTCACACTGTCCATATAAACGTGAAGCATGTAAACAAAAACCCGAAAACAAAAAGAAGCTATCCAACATTAATCCAGACAGGTCAATGAATGCCTTGTGCTGAAGAACAACTATCAGTCAATATGTGCACTTTGTCTAATAGGCCACCCCGCCTCTTGTTCGGCCGATAGTGTAGAACTTGTCAGAACTACTGCCGCCTATGGCCAGGGTATCAAATCGATCCACGCCCATACTATCCATGTTCACATATCCCGACATATAGAAGCCAAGCAGAACGACAAGGTAGGTGAGTACAAGGATGGATCCCTTGAAGTAGTTGCTCTTTCCTTCGCCATATACATGCGAGAGAAGGAAGACGCACAGGATAACGGTAATCATATCCCACTGGGGGAATATCAAACTGTTTGAAATATTTTGTTAGCCATGGCACTTGGATTGGAGATGGAATGAAACAGAGAAAAGAAAAGAAAAGAAAAAACTAATGAAGCGGTCTTACTTGAATGAGTGGCTGACAAGCTCAGATGGGTCCAGCGAGCGGCCATAGAAAGCGCTGAAGAATACTACAGCAGGAACCTGTAATAGACAGACCTGCAGCGCGTAGGCAGATCCAATTTCCATAGACAAAGCAATGTTGCCGTTCATGGCAAATGAGATAGCGTTCTGTCGGGTGTGTTAACAATATGAAATGCAAAACAGCCTTGGATAGAGGCTTTAATAACGTACCAGGAATTCCGTCGTGTTTGGCACCAACGCGAAGAGAGTAATGCCGAGGAATTTCTCATCAATATCCACGCTCTCTAGCACGACATCAACTGTGTTGACAAGAATCTCAGCAATCACCGCATAGAGAAGTGTTGCCCCAAGAAGAACGATAGAGCTTTTAACTTTGCTCCAATTAGGTGCATCATGTCCTCCGCTGGTATGACTGGGCTCCGCACGCAACCCGAGATCTTCAAGCTCTTCTGCAGCAGTATTCCGTGATCGCTCTGGAGCAGAACGGCTAGCTTGATGAACAGAAGCTTGATGGTGTTGGATATTGGGCTTGCGACTTCGAGCCACATCCCGAGCAGCCACTGCCGCTGCTGCTGCAGCCACTTCTGTGACCTGGCGTACTAGACGCTCGTTGTCTTCTTTGGCCACGCTATGGACAGATTTTGGCACAGGGCAACCATCCTCGCCGCTAGAATTGGGGGGCACCAAGTGTGGGAAATTGCTTTTGAGGTCTGCGGTACCTTCACTTCCAACCACTTCCCAATTGCCCGAGGCATTTTCTTCCAAGCCGAAGTGCTTCAATGATTGGCCGAGAATTCGCTTATAGAGTTGCGATTCGCGGATAGAATCTTTAGGCCCAGAAGCAGCACCGGAGGCTTCGGGTTGGCCATTTGAGAATAGCAAGTGTCGTGGTTCGTAAAATGAATCTTGGGCAGATTGGGTGACATGGCCATGGGTATTTTTCTTTTCTTCTATCTCTGATGACCAAATGAGAGCAGCATGGGTCCTAAGGGTGAACCATAGACCGATGCAGTATGAAAGGAACAAGAAAACAGCGGCGATCCACGCATATGGTTGTACCGCCCGCTGAAAGAACTGGTCATCGACAGCTGCTGTTTGTGAGAAATAACAGCGGCGGCAATCTCGAGCCTCCGGATCGAGAGAACTGATACACGAGTGGCAGTTCAGCTCATGCTATGCACCAGTCAGCTTAGATTCGTTTGCGAAGGAAGGTGAAACTTACACTGCCATAAACCTGATAGAAGAGAGTTGGACCAAAAGCAGCAATCACCGCAAATAACAACATCGTCGCAGTCACACCGGCTGATTTCACATTGAACCGTTGGGTCTTGCGTTTAAGTGCACCAAAGCACATGGACAGACCAGGGAGAAAGAGAATGCCGACAAAGATACTGCCAATGATGCTTCCCTCGACAAGCTGAGCCTTACCCTCAGTTAAAGCGACACAGTAGAGATATACTTCTACAATAGTTGAGAAGAAAGCATTGATGGCAGCACCCAGGCCCATAGAAGATTGAGCGGAGATCGAGGCAACGGCTTGCCCAATGAAATAGGCCAGAGGAATAATGGAGAGCAAAGCAAGAGGGAAAATTAAGGCAGGGTGTGTGACCCAGTTCTGCAAGCCCAGGAATTCGCCCAAAACATGATAGTCGAAAATCACAAATACAACCACCCCCAGAAGATTGATCAGGAAGATATTCGTTCCGTCGAGCGTGTATTTCCAGTACCTCGTCCCCGCAGCTCTGTAGGTACAAAGAAGGATGGAAGACGAAGACGTGGTTGTGCTCGACCTCGCATATGTGGAATCGGAATGGAAGGAC